GATAACATAATGGATGGGAAGAATTTTATTTACAGTTATTAATTTGGAAAAATTACTATTAATGGGAAATACTGTTTTTAAATTGTGAAAAATTAAACTATTCATTCTCATATTTTCATAAATTTAGAGTTTTTAACTAATTCAAAATAGTTAATTTTAAATAAATTGAAAATTCATTCGCGATGTTTACAAAGCGCGATATCAACAATATCAATGAATATCATTGATTATTTTTCGTCATTGATGGATTGATTTAATTATTCAAATGTATTGCCATTAAAGGCTATTAATTTAAAATAACAAAAATTGTGAAAATAGATTCTTTTGTATTAAATCATTTTCATAAATTCCGCATAAAAAGGGGTTTACCTTAATCCATTACCAATCTATTTAATTTTTATATATTTAATGCTTTTATTAATTTCTTTTAGCTAGATATCGAAGTGAAGTGAAATATGAAACAGAAAATGAATTTTGTTGATTGTAAATGGTCGTCTGGTCTTCAATTACTACAATCTAAACTATTAATTTCCAATCATGAAAGAATATAACAGATTTTTTATTCTACAATTAATGAGTTATATTTATCTACTTACATAACAAATACGTACCGTTTGTAAACAATTTATAATCAACCGGTATTTTTATACACTCGTGATATGTGGCTGTGCTGTCGTTCCACCTTGTTATTGTATATTTGTTACTAAAAGTTTCTCACTGCTTTGAATTTTTCAAGATTTTATAATATGTCTGACAATTGTGTAAGATATGAGTTGCACGAAGGGGTTTTTAAAAACGACCTTAAAAGAGTAGCTTCTAGTCTTAGGACTCACGACGTTGCCCAAAAAGATATACATGGTATTATATTTTTAATGGAATAAAATGCAAATTATTTTAAGTTGGCTGTATGTTATATATATATATTTTTTTAGATATTTGTGATTTATATATATCCGAATGATAAATCGATTATGTTAAATGGCGAGGCTTTAATTCATTAAATAGAATTAATTCGAATTGTTAATTCGTGAGGCAACATTTTCTTTCCTATGCGTATTGATGTGTCGCATCGCTTAAAATTTAAAGGAAGGTTAAATATTGTCCTGTGAAAATAAAGATTTTCTTATTGATTTCAATTAGGTTTCTTTAAAAGAATATTGTTATTTGTTCCAATCATTTCAAAGTTCATATCCTTAATAGTTTAGAAAATATGTGTCTGCATACCTTATGAAGGCACTTATTTTACTGGCCCTGTGACAATTATGCCATGTAAGTACCAAAAGAAATAATTTAATTTTTATTTTTTTTATTTAAAATTCTTATAGTTATTCCATATAATTCACATAATTGAAAATAAATCAATAATTTTTAATCTAAAGTTATTTTGATAGTGTTGTATTATATTAAATCTTACCATACCTTTTTCGAAATATTTCTTTTTCAATATCTTTAATTTAATATTTTGAAAAGAAAAAGTGACAATTGAGTAATAAAAAGTATAAATATGCTATACTGATACAAAATTGTAATACTCCTCACTCAACTAATATTTTGATAGAATTTTCTACATTTGCTGGACTTTTTGTTAAAAGTTAAAACAANATTGTATATTTGTTACTAAAAGTTTCTCACTGCTTTGAATTTTTCAAGATTTTATAATATGTCTGACAATTGTGTAAGATATGAGTTGCACGAAGGGGTTTTTAAAAACGACCTTAAAAGAGTAGCTTCTAGTCTTAGGACTCATGACGTTGCCCAAAAAGATATACATGGTATTATATTTTTAATTGAATAAAATGCAAATTATTTTAGGTTGGCTGTATGTTGTATATTATTTTTTTGTTTTTAGATATCTGTGATTTATATATATCCGAATGATATATCGATTATGTTAAATGACGAGGCTTCAATTCATTAAATAGAATTAATTCGTGGGGCAACATTTTCTTTCCTGTGCGTATTGAAGTGTTGCATCGCTTAAAATTTAAAGGAAAGTTAAATATTGTCCTGTGAAAATAAAGATTTTCTTATTGATTTCAATTAGGTTTCTTTAAAAGAATATTGTTATTTGTTCCAATCTTTTCAAAGTTCATATCCTTAATAGTTTAGAAAATATGTGTCTGCATACCTTATGAAGGCACTTATTTTACTGGCCCTGTGACTATTATGCCATGTAAATACGAAAAGAAATAATTTAATTATTATTTTTTTTATTTAAAATTCTTATAGTTATTCCATATAATTCACATAATTGAAAATAAATCAATAATTTTAAATCTAAAGTTATTTTGATAGTGTTGTTTTATATTAAATCTTACCATACCTTTTTCGAAATATTTCTTTTTCAATATCTTTAATTTAATATTTTGAAAAGAAAAAGTGACAATTGAGTAATAAAAAGTATAAATATGCTATACTGATACAAAATTTTAATACTCCTCACTCAACTAATATTTTGATAGAATTTTCTACATTTGCTGGACTTTTTGTTAAAAGTAAAAACAAAAACGAAATATTTAATTGAATGTACCTGATTTTCGAATTGTATAGAAAAACAGCCTTGCATGACTATGACTCCAAATAATTTTTATGGTAAATTATTGAGAGTAATCAAGCATGGAGATTATCTTCATCTATTTAACCAAATATAAAATTATAAGTAATTTTCTCACATATTTAATTAAAATTTAGTTCTTTGCAGAGATGTTTAAAAATAATTTAAGAAATCCAGTTATAAAGATGAATAAACAAGTTCTTTGAAATAAAACTAATAAAATCTGTTTCATATTTTAAAGTGTTACGTGAAGTGTTTAAAAATTATACTCTTTCCTTTCTCTTATGTACTCAATTGATTTAGAATTAAACTTTATTTATAACTTTGGACAAATTATATTTTTATTGTAACTTTTTCATTTAAGTTAAAACTCATATGATATTTAGTTTCACAAGTTTAGCATCTAATTGGTGTTATATACACCAATTTAACTGATGGAGAAAAGAGGAACCAGATCTAGTAAGAATGTTTCAAAGTTTTGGAAGATAATTACTATGCTTTTTTGTATATTGATGAAATATATTTTCAAACAAAATTATTTATGGTATTAAAAAAATATATTAATTTTTTTAAGAATATGGTAACTATTAATTAGATTATTCCAAATGTGAAAGAAATGTTTACAACTTGAATGTTGCAGAGATTTGCTGCATTTATTCTTTATTTGGTCAAAATAACTCTATTATGGCTAATAAATCTTCTCTCTATGTTGGTTGAAATCATTCTACTATAGCTAATAGAACTTTTTTCTATTTGAATTGAAATAACTCCTAAATATTTATATTATTTTGTTAAAATAAATATTGTTTTTATTTTACAGATTTTCTTAAAATAAATTTAATTTATAGCTCTAAGTCTCCATAGAGGAAAATTTTTTTAATTTCAAGCATGTATTTAAAAATTAGCTCTAAATTTGAGTTTCAATATTGATGTAGGAATTTAAATAAAATCTCACAAAAATAAAAAATTGTTAACTATAGCAAAGAGGGAAAGCTTGCTAATTAAATGTGTTGCAAAAGTATATTTAACTAAAGGATTCAGCTATAAAAAATCAATTTGTTTTGATAATATTACTCCAGTCATGTGTGTATTATCAGCATTTGTTGTGTTTAAGACTTTTAATTCTTGTCATTGAAAGCAACCTTTCAGTAAGTGCAAATAAAAAATTTTATCCTTTTAAGTCTCAAATTTTTTATGTTCTATTTATTATTCCTAATCTTATAACTGACTGATAAATAATTTATAATTTTTATCAGTATTAAATTCAATTGATTCGCATAAATGAAAGGTATTGTATTATAAAACGATATTTTTAAAATTAAATTTTGAAAAAAGATATTTTACTTATTTTTTCAAAATGATTTTAACAATAATAAGCTTTTTAAAATACTCATAAGTATTTGAATAATAATTTCAAAACTCTGCCTGCCTTTATAATTATTCTATTGTCTTTTTACAGTTCTATATTTTTTTAAAATCTTATCCCCAATTAAAAAGAAACTTTATTTGCGAAAATTAACCCAGTTTTTATTTTAGCATTTTGTAATGTTTTCTAACTGAATTTATTTTATAGGAAACACACCTCTTCATCTGGCTGTTCTAAAAGGATACAAAGGTATCAATTTCAATAATTGAATTTATTTTGCATTTTAAAAAGTTTTATTGTTTTTGCAATCAAATAATTTATTTTTTTAAAAAAATTTTTAAATGAGTGTAACTAATACATACTTCTTAAATAGTTTAAAAGAAAAATTTATCCATACATTATCTATCTTATAATCTATTTCAGATATTGTTCAATTATTGCTGTCGCATAATGCCCCAGTAAAAGTTAAAAATAACCTGGGCTGGAGTCCTTTAGCTGAAGCAATAAGTTTTGGTGATCGTCAAACCAGTATGTTTTTATAATTTTTCTTTATTCCTTTAAAAAAAATATTTCTAATTGTACTTATTGATTATTCTTTTGCTCAACAATCCAATTTAAATCATAAAAAAATTAAAACACTTTTTATTAAAGTCAATGATTTTTAAACAAATTTTATCAAAATTAGGTAGTAATGATTAGGTTGGAATTAGTTATAAGAATCAATAAATTGCTTGCAGTAAGTTTTATTGAGGTTTTGTGTCAACAGAATTTTTTTTTTATTTCATCTAAGTCTGCTGATGTATTTTAAGATCTTTTTCATGACAATCAGCATATTTTTGGTCTTCTAGGCTATACTGTGGTTTAGCCATAAAAACAAATTTATTGCATTTTTGTTTTCTTCCATTTTTATGAGGTGTCCAACCCACTTTAATCTTTGTTTTTTAATAAATTTCACAACTGTTATACAGTCAAGAATTGGTTCTTCTATGCCAAGTAACGTTATTTTGTATTCATTTTAGAATACTTCAAATTATTTTCTGTTCAAAATTTGTCAATATTTCCTCTTCTTTAGTTAGGATAGATCAAATTTATATATAAAGTATGATCTTAGTTTTCCTACTTATCTGATTCCATTTTAAATGTCCTCCAAGCCATTAAAACATTTATCAGATGCCACTGATTTTTTATATAAATTTTTTTTTTATCAAAATAGGTAGAGTTATCAATTTTTTGCTTATTGTTTATAATATATACTGTTAAATATCTCTCAGTTTTATTATTTTTTAACATTGTAAAGATCAGTTTCAAATCATTATGAATCACTTATGGCTCATGAAACTAAACATATTTTAATTATAATGTTGGTTGTATAAAATATATGAATTTCAGTTAAATGTTTTATTTTGCATTACAATTTGTATTGAGTTTAACAATCCTGGTGATTTTTTATTTAACTATTTTGTCAACTGCTTTAATTTACTTAAACATGCTGTCAAGCATGTTAATAGTGCCGGGATTTAACCTGGATAGTTTCAGTAGAAGTTATTTGAGAATAAAATTAGCCAATAGTAAGTGAACAAAGACAATTCTCCAACTCTGCACATTTCTTCTAAACTACTACCATATCATTACAATGTCTTTTTGTCTATTGTTGATTCTAATATATTCTTTATAGTATCATCTCTTCTTCGTAAAATGAAACAACAGTCCAGAGAGGCAATTGAAACTCGAAGGCCTGACCTTATTTCTGCTTTAGAACAGATGGGAAATTTTTACATGGAACTAAAATGGGATTTCAAAAGCTGGGGTTAGTTGTTTTATTCCTAATTTCTCATAAATTTACAAATTGAATTTTTTATTAAATTAACAAATTTGCATTTTTTTTCCAGTGCCATTGGTGTCAAAAATTTTACCATCTGATATTTGTCGGATCCATAAAAAAGGATCAAACATCAGGTAAAAATTTTAAAGTTTATTCTTAGCCAAATTTAAATAATAAAAAATTTTAAGCATAATAAAAATTAGTTTTTTTTTCTAACTGCTCTATAAAAGTTGTTGGTTAAATTTATGATTAGGTTGGTTTAATTTAATTTATGAAATTGCCATGGTTTTAGTCTCAGATTAATCAGTTTAAAGTATTTGAATTGTCGATAAAAAATTCTCAAACTTACACTTCGAATTTTCACATTTTTGCTATGGAACTTTTATACAATGTCATGCACCAAGAAATAAAAATTAAAGCAGAAATAGATGTTTGGATATTTTTTCCAACCTATTCATTAAATTTTTTACTATGGTGATATAAGTTGTACTAATTATTAATTTAAAAAAAAAATCGCCATCTCAAATGAGGTGACATTTGATATTAAAAAATTATAAACCGTGATTGGTTTGCTTTTCCTATTCTTTTGTTTCTCAGTCATCAAGCATTTTCTGAGATAAAAAAAAATTTGTTCAAACAATGCAACAGTAATTTCTTTGTTTTAATTATTTATTTATTTTTTGTCGTATTACTAATCACATTTATTTTACATTTTCTTTAAATAAATGTGAATGCATTTTCTTTACTAAATGAGGTGTACTTTTCTTGAAAACACTAACAAGAAACAAAAATACAAAACATCCTTTAAAATAACTTTTTTTATTACTACATGTCTTTTAAACTTATTATTGTTACTGTGATTAGTTAAACGTTGTATAAATGTTTTTCTTTTTAAATTATTTATTTATAATTTTGCTGATCATTGCATCAATGTAAAAGATTTTGGTTTTAAACAAAAAGAAGTCATTAAATAAAACAATTTGCGACTAATTATTATGTTGGAATCAAACTGTGACTCTATTATAAGATTTTTTTTTTCAGGCTTGACACGACTCTTATAGACTTCAATGATATGAAGTGGGAGCGTGGCGACATTAGTTTTTTATTTTCAGGTGATAACAAACCCTCTAAGTCATTAGTTGTTTTGAACAACAAATTGAAAGTTTATCAAGAAATTCGATATGAGGTAATTGCTGTTAGTATCAAATATCATTGGATTTTCTTTTTTGTTGCTTTGGATAAACTGTTTTTGTATGTTTAGTAGTAAGAAGCACTAAAAGTGTGATTATGTAGTGAAGACAAGATTTTTTCCGAATCAAATGTGCTTTTAAAGCTAAGAAAAGAGATAAATAAACCTTTAAATAAATGAAACCATTTTTATAAAACAAGCATAAACATATTTACTTCTATTTAGTGTTATAAAAATTTAATTTATATTTTGCATGGTTTAAAAGAAAGAACTGTGTAATCTAGTCCTGATAATGACTTGTATTTTAATTTATGGCTACATATAATTTTTCTGTATGTTATTATATTTATTAGTTGTTCCTATTTGGTGATCTTTAAATTTTTAGGAAACAAGAAGGGGCCTCATGAGTTTCTTGAGTTAAGACTTTTTTAGGACAGTAATGATTCTATGCATTAAAAAAAAGTTATACCAGATCATTCTTCTCATTACCTAGGGTTAAATTCTTTAACTCTATGCCTTTTTTATGGTTTATGCTACTCATTTTTTTTAAAATTTATTATACTGATTAATATCTTTTCCTCAGGAAACTGAAGCTGAGTTTGAAGAAGAGGTCGATGTTTTAATGAGTAGTGATATTGTGGCTGCACAAATATCCACCAAATCCATCACTTTTACTCGAGCTCAGTGTGGTTGGCTTTTTAGAGAAGACAAAACCGTAAGTGAGCTTTTTATGTTCTTTTTTTCCAATGTAAATTCAAACAAAGATTTTCTCTGAATTCAGTGTATATTGTGTGCAATGGCTGAATGGTAATATTTACTATTCTGATAATTCAGGAAGCAGCTCTGATGTTTTTTAATGTCTGTGTGAGACAAAGATATATATTCTTATAAATTTCATTGGATTAATTTTACTTATTAGCACTGCAGCAAATAAAGAAGCGTAAAATGAAAAACAGTGCCAACAGTTAACATTATTTGAAGTATTAACAATATCCTGACCATTTTACATCAAAAAACAATGTTGTCAATGGACATAGTAGTGCATTCAGTAAAGGTCACTCCACTAGTTAAGAACTGTGTTCATGAGTTTAATCTTGCCTGATCTAATATACATCTTGCTTCATACAACCAGTGTGTGTATGGAGCAAGATGCATGTTAGATCTTTCATGGCTGAAAGCTCTCTCATTGATTGTGGTGTAAGAGTTTGGAGAGAGGAATGTAGTGACTGCCATCAAAAAATTTGCTTTTTCTTGTCTGAATTATTTGAATTTTCATTTTCCCCCATGTAAACAAGAAACAAAGTTGCAGATGTATATTAATCTTCTTAAAAGAAATGAAGGGAAAGTTATATAATTACGAACTTTGGAGGTGTTTAAGAAATCTTGATAAAAACTGTTTTTGAATTAAGAAAAATTAGAGTATGCTTATCATTATTACCAATGATCATCCCTCACTTAATGATTCAATAAAGAAATATAGGGATTTTTTTTTTGGTTTATCTTATTTTTGTAACTGAAAGCCTACATTGTAATAACTATTATGTCCTTTGTATAATGCAACTCAGAAATTAGCTTGTTTTAAAATAACTTTGGTCTACTAATATAAAAACTGCATTATTTCTTTCCAAACATTAAAATGTTTCAGAAGTTTGTCATTTTCTTTTTAAAAAAAAAATTGAATTCCTTGTAATTTCATTGTTTATTTTTCAGGAAATGATTGGTCCGTTTCTTGCTGATATTTATACTATAAATGGTGTTTATCTGGAATCTAGAAAGAGGTTAAGATTTTATTTCTTTGAAAAATAATTTATTTAAGAATTTTGAATGAATGCTTATGTACTATATTTATTATAGGCGAGAACATTTAACTGATGAAGATTAACATAAAAATAAGGCCCTACTTGAAGGAATCACAAGGAGTGGCAATATAAATTTAGATAATACTGAGGTAATTTCAGATTTCTCTAAAAAATTATTCTTTAGTTTTATTTTATTCTTCTTACTTGATCTAATTTTTCAAATACAATTAAATTAATATTGTTTTGTAATAAAATTTTGAACGCACTAGTTTAAATTTAATTGTAAAGTCTTGTAATTTGATAGACTATTAGACATTATTTCCAGATGAATTTTCTTTTATTTTTATTATTTTTAATGATTTTAAAATTGCTGTAAGTATTATATAAAATTTCTCCTGTGATGTTTAAGCAGCATCTTTTTAAAATAGATTAAATGTAATGCATTGATTATGAAGAGAATAAAGTATGTGTAGATTTATTGTTTGCTGTTATGCAATTAAATCTACTAATTTTCTTTCCTAAATTTAGCATTCTTTTGTGGAATAAGTTTATTTTTATGAATTCTGTTAGATGAAGTTCATAATGTTCACTTTAACTTTTAAATTCCTCATTTAATTTTTACGAATATTTTATTCTTATTATATTTATTCTATATATTACGATCAACCTTACCTCTTCAAAATCTTCTCTTAATTACTTATTGAACATCTTTTAAGAACCTGACCTCTTTTTGCCTTAAGAACCTCATTTTATCTGACTAATCTAAACAGCAAACTTGGATCCCATGGATTTTGATACTGGTGTCTAAAATTACTTCGGAAAATTATTAGCATGTTTATTTATTATGAGTACAGGAATGGTCAAATGTGCCTTTTGTTTTGTAAAATGGAACTAAAACTTTTCTACGTTTGTTGAAAAATTCAATGTTAAATTTTAGAAACTTTTGTTATATATATTTAAAGTTTTTTTTTTTGTTACTTTTAGTGATTGCTTAATTATTTCTGGGCAAAGTATTAACTAAATTGTGATTGCTTGTAAAAGCACCAGATAAATTTCGTAAATTAGTTTTTTTTTTAATGAATTTAATCTTAAAAGCTTTCACTTGATTTTTTTTTTTTTGTTCAATTCTTTAATATTTAAAAGTAATATTTCTAAGATTTTTTTTGTGTCACTGTATTAACTTCTTTTAATGTTATCTGCTATCAAAAATACTTTTATTTTATGAGACATGAATATATGTACAGTGTGCCAAAAAAAAATGAACCACTCTGAATAATTTAATCAGCAGATCTTCATATTATTTTCAAGTTATGAGTTTTGAACATACAACTTTTTTAAAAATTTGATTTCTCGTAAACTGTTATTTATATACCTTTATTTAATAAAAAGTAATAAATATTTACTAAAAGTTATTTTTTTTAATGGAATTACCTTTGGATAAACGAATTTTATAATTGACTGCGAAAATTTTTCGATTCGCTTTTTAAAAAAATTTCAAGATATAGCGAAATAAGCAAAATTAGCATCAAGGGATCCAAACTTTGGAGAGCACTCCTGTCCGAAATATCCCGACAGTATTTCCCAGATTGCAGCTACCTCTATATTTTGAGAGTCGGAAATCTGAGTCCGTTATAGAAAGGTATGTTTATTCAGTCTGATTTGTTAATTTAAAATATAGTCTGCACTAATTAATTAGCATATTTGAGATCACCCTCTCATGCCATTAAGATTGAATCCTAGAGCATGAAGATACGATCATTGGATCATAAATTATTCAGGGTGGGTTTTTTTGTTTTTAATTTTTTTCTACTGTTTTGCACTGCACATATGATTTTTTGTTAATTATTATAATTTATGTTATAGTAATTTCGAAAATAAATATTCTGGAAAGGTGCAATATATTATACACCAATCAATTTTTTTTAATTTTTGTACTTTAATAGTAAAACCGAAGTAATCAATTATTTTCAAAAGTTATTTTTAAAATGTATTCTAATGGTTTAAAATTTCTTTTGTGGCAGATTCAGCGCAGGAAGTCACTTGCTTGGGAAGAATACATAAACTACAATGATAAATATGTTCATATTGGAAGGCCTTTAGTGTATAAAGAAAGCAGGAATAATTTCAAGGCAACTGTTGCAATGGTAAATGATATGTTTTTACTTGATAATTTTTTAGAAAGTGAAAATGCAATATTTTAAATTATTACGATGAATTGATGAAAATGTACTTAGTAAACTTACAAAACTATACTCCTTGTATATAAAATTGGTGTCTCAAGGACAAATTTTTAACCTTTGTTGGCTTAGCAACAATGTGACAAGCAGTAGCATCACTCTTTTTATTTATGTTGCAGTTTAGGAATATCTACAGCTCGTTGTAGCTCCTCTGATAATTGTAGTTTGTTATCTTGTTTTCGTTTGTTATGCACCGTTTTGTACTTGAGTATAAGTTTATTCATTTTCACTAACTAGTGCTAAATTGTTTGTTATTTAAACTTTTCTATCTTAAATAGATCTGATGTCAGTCGGCAATTACAGTTGGTTATCTGCGATTAGAGTGCATGTCGTTTTTAAAAAGTGCTTAAAGGTGCTCATTTTCGCTTTTTAAGAGCCCTTAAAGGTGTTTTTTTCATTTGGTGTTTTTAAAAAGTTCTTAATTTTTCCTTTTCGAAAGTGAGATTTTTTCTTTACTATGTCAATTTTTGCCATGTATTATGTCTATTCTAAGTTTTCACAATTCATTCAATCCCAATCCATTTCGTGTATTGTCAGTCCATGGCATGTGAAAACGCCAATCATTTTACATGTTTGAGGAAATACTTGCGACAGACTTTCCGTCTATTAAGCTGGTTTTGGTGAGATTATTGCACTCTCATGTGCAACTCTGCTGAAATTCGCAAGACATTTTTCTTCCCCTGATATCGAACTAAAAAGTCTCTTTATCGTTTTATAATGGGTCATGTAATCAAGAAACTAGTTATTTTATCATGATCATGTAAAGTCTTTGAAAATTATTTTGCATTTTGTAAATGCATATAGTGCTTAAAAACATTTTTAGGGTGCTTAAAAAGTACTTGAAATACGCTTATTTTTTATTGAAAGATTATGCTACGCACCCTGTGCAATATCTAGAACCAGACTCATATAACATAAAAGAATGTGCGAACATCATTCGCAGAAATTTTTTTTTACTATTATTAAAAAATCCTCCTCTTTAACAAATTTTTGTGTTTTCGTATTTCTGAGAGAGAAAAAGTTTGTTTTTATGCTTTTCCTAAAGATTTTTGAAAAAATTTTTAATTTTCAAATGAATTTCGCCAAAAGGTGGTGGTGACAAAGGGTTGAAATTAGTTACAAGATTAATCAATGCATGCAGAAAGTTTTTTAATTGATATTTTATGTTCGCAGAAAGGTTTTCATTTTATTTAAGTCTACTACCACTAAAAAAGTTTGTTGCCTGAATCAAATAAATTAAATTAATTTTTGACCCAAAACTTATTCTAAGGCTATTATTTAATATTAGAAAGTATTGTTGTAATGTATGAGTATTTCCATCATATACACGTATGAGCTTTTAAATGCAGTCAGAATGTCAGCTTCTTGTTTCTTAATACAATTTCGTAAGATTCGAGGCTGTCATGATAATGAAAAAGAGAAATTTCTAAAGTGTGGGAAAGTTACATAACCTTGAGGCACCTATTATACTTACAAGGACTATAGATACATGTGCAATTTGTTTTATATTGGAATTTTAAGCACTTTTTAATGTTAAATATTTATATTAAATTTATTATATTGTATAATTAAATACAGATACAGTAGAGAACCGATTAGCCGGAACAATCGGGACCGTCGCGATTCCTGATAACTGATTTTTCCGGTTTTCTGAATCGCTACAAAATGCCATTTTTTTAATGTTTATAAAACGAAACTAAAAAATTATTTTGAAATAGTTTTAGAAATAACAAAAAATGATAAATAATAATACACTTAAGTTTAAATAAGGAAAGAAATTATGAAATAAAGATTATATACAGGCTTATATATGTCATTAATGTTATTATTAACATTAATAGCATATATAAGCTATTTGTGCTTATGTGAGATTCGTCTACAAACGGCTTTTGAAACGTCCTCTAAATCAGGTCTTTCGTCAACTTGATACGCCGTACGCTCTAAATAATAAAATGGGCTCAAAATCTTGCAAGAAAAAAAAAAATTATTTAATGGAAGAAAATTTATTTCCGGTTCTAAATTTCATTCCAGTTTTCTGATTTCCGGATAAGAGGTTCTGCACTGTATCTCATTTTGTAAGCTATAAAGTTCTATAAATATTAATTTCTACTTGGTGGAAAACTAGTTTTTATTAATCTATTTAATTAACTAAGATACTTTTAATTGAAGATATATGTATGCATTTTATTTTTTTGTGTGAATACAATATTGTTTTTTTGTGAATACAAGTGAGAAATGATCGCAGCTTGCAATTTTAGGTGCAGAAAGAGTAGATTTGTTTGACGTGCTTACTTATTAAAAATTTCTGTTCTGAAGCTAAATAAAATCTATAACAAAATATGAAGTTGGCACACTGTTTCTCATTTGAGATAATAAATTTTAAAAAAAATTCTTATTACTTTCTTCCCTTCTTATCGTAAGAATGGATAATAAACAATATTTGAAAAAATTTCAATCTCTTTCAGATTTTACGTAACCTTGAATTAACTCTAGAAATATTTTTAAAAATGCTAAAATAGTCTTTTCTTTCTTTTTAGTTTTATAATTTTTAGCAAATATAATGTTTCTTGCTGTTATTGTAATTTCCAAGTTTAGTTTTGTTTATATTTATGTTGTAGGTTCATAAAATATAATCTTTAATAAATATTATGATATAGATTATAATAGTGTTCATTTTTATGCTACTGTCTAAACTAGTGTTTCATTTTTCAGTCTGAAGATTTTCCCCTGTCTGTGGAATCGTAAGTGTTCTTGATTTTTTTATGATTAATAATATGTACTCATTTTTGTATTTTTTTCTTTTTAGTGATAATATAAAAACTATTTTTCAATTTATTAAAATATTTTTCCTCAACTCTTTTTGAAGTATGAAAAGGAATTTGAAAAGAAAAATGAATAAAATAAGATATAAAATTGAATCCTTTTAAATATCTTCTAACTTCAGTCATAAAAATAATTTTTTAAACTATCTTGGATAAAATTTAATTAAAAATACTTACACTTATATTCACTGAAAGTATTTTCAAATGTAAACACATTATTTTTCCTCATAAAATTTTAAATTATTATGCTTGTAAGCCTTAAAATAAGTTTTTTTTTATATAGTTTAGTTTAGGATAAAAATGTGTGCATGTGGAGGATATAAATTCATCTTCAAAATTCTATAAATTATTTATACACTTATTTATTGTATGACCACCACAGGGTTGCTACACTACCTGGAAAAATTAGGGAATTTCGAAAGTGTCCCAAAAAAAAGGAAATATAACATATTTGAGCCAAAATCTAAAAAAGTCAGAGATTCTTTAAGCGAGGGCCAAGCATGCCATCTTTGCGAAAACCCTTTCCACAGTACACATTTTGTGTGCAAAAGTTTCGCAAATTCATCATGGAACCTAATTTCTCAGAACCACAGCGTGTCAGAGTTTTGTGACTTCAGCTAGAAAGGAATTATTGTTTGATAAGCTCCACAACAGATAGAAGGGGTAGATGGACTTCAGATTGTCTATTCTTATTTTTGATTAAGAAATTTGTTGGGATAAAAAGTGTTTTATAATCTCTTACAAATCATTAATGTTTTTTAAATTTCCTTAATTCTCACTAAAGTTCGATAAATGAATTTAATTAAACTAGTTATAACTTGCAGAAGCATTGATATTGCTGTTCCACATGGAAATTATTAAACAATACTGTAATAACTTGGGTTCGATCCACGATCCAGATTTTATTTTTAAGGCCCAATTTTGTGAAAAATGGAATTTACTTTTCTGGAAATTTCTTAATTAATGAAGAACATTCTTTGTTTTTTTTATCATGTTTATGCTGCTACCCTATGGTTTTTCAAAGTGATTCCCTGTATATTTAATGCGTTATTACTATTTTAATTTCAGTAACACCTTCTGATGACTCTGCTTTCCTCTAATTTGTTAATGTGCTTTTTTTTAATATGCTGATCAATCAATTTCATGTTCAAAACAATATATATATAATGTTAAAAATAAAGAAAATTAAAAAGCCAGATAACAAAATAAACCACAGATATAATCTCATTGTCAGCTCACAGGATTATATCCACAAAAAGAATGCTTTCTAATATTATATTAATAAAGCAAAACATATTATTACATTTGTATGAGGAGCACCAAAAATATTTAAACCGAAATAAAACATATTAAGCAAAAAATAGAAAATAAAAATCAAAGAAAAATACAAAATAAAACACCAAATATTATATATAAAGCAAGTGGTGAAATCAAATGTTCTTCCATTTACCAGCATATTGCAAAAATGATTTAAACTATCAGGGGTCTGTCCAGACATNCCACTCTGAATAATTTAATCAGCAGATCTTCATATTATTTTCAAGTTATGAGTTTTGAACATACAACTTTTTTAAAAATTTGATTTCTTGTCTGAATTATTTGAATTTTCATTTTCCCCCATGTAAACAAGAAACAAAGTTGCAGATGTATATTAATCTTCTTAAAAGAAATGAAGGGAAAGTTATATAATTACGAACTTTGGAGGTGTTTAAGAAATCTTGATAAAAACTGTTTTTGAATTAAGAAAAATTAGAGTATGCTTATCATTATTACCAATGATCATCCCTCACTTAATGATTCAATAAAGAAATATAGGGATTTTTTTTTTGGTTTATCTTATTTTTGTAACTGAAAGCCTACATTGTAATAACTATTATGTCCTTTGTATAATGCAACTCAGAAATTAGCTTGTTTTAAAATAACTTTGGTCTACTAATATAAAAACTGCATTATTTCTTTCCAAACATTAAAATGTTTCAGAAGTTTGTCATTTTCTTTTTAAAAAAAAAATTGAATTCCTTGTAATTTCATTGTTTATTTTTCAGGAAATGATTGGTCCGTTTCTTGCTGATATTTATACTATAAATGGTGTTTATCTGGAATCTAGAAAGAGGTTAAGATTTTATTTCTTTGAAAAATAATTTATTTAAGAATTTTGAATGAATGCTTATGTACTATATTTATTATAGGCGAGAACATTTAACTGATGAAGATTTACATAAAAATAAGGCCCTACTTGAAGGAATCACTAGGAGTGGCAATATAAATTTAGATAATGCTGAGGTAATTTCAGATTTCTCTAAAAAAATATTCTTTAGTTTTATTTTATTCTTCTTACTTGATCTAATTTTTCAAATACAATTAAATTAATATTGTTTTGTAATAAAATTTTAAACGCACTAGTGTAAATTTAATTGTGAAGTCTTGAAATTTGATAGACTATTAGACATTATTTCCTGATGAATTTTATTATTATTTTTAATGATTTTAAAATTGCTGTAAGTATTATATAAAATTTCTCCTGTAATGATAAAGCAGCATCTTTTTAAAATAGATTAAATGTAATACATAGATAATAAAGAAAATAAAGTATGTGTAGATTTATTGTTTGCTGTTATGCAATTAAATCTACTAATTTTCTTTCCTAAATTTAGCATTCTTTTGTGGAATAAGTTTATTTTTATGAATTTTGTTAGATGAAGTTCATAATGTTCACTTTAACTTTTAGATTCCTCATTTAATTTTTAAGAATATTTTATTCTTATTATATTTATTCTATATATTACGATCAACCATACCTCTTCAAAATCTTCTCTTAATTACTTATTGAACATCTTTTAAGGACCTGACTTCTTTTTGCCTAAAGAACCTCATTTTATCTGACTAATCTAAACAGCAAACTTGACTCCCATAGATTTTGATATTGGTGTCTAAAATTACTTTGGAAAATTATTAGCATGTTTATTTATTATGAGTACAGGAATGGTCAAATGTGCCTTTTTTTTGTAAAAAGGAACTAAAACTTTTCTTACGTTTATTGAAAAATTCAATGTTAAGTTATAGTAACTTTTGTTATATATATTTTAATTATTTTTTTTTTTGTTACTTTTAGTGATTGCTTAATTATTTCTAGGCAAAGTATTAACTAAATTGTGATTGCTTGTAAAAGCACCAGAAAAATTTCGTAAATTAATTTTTTTTTTTTTTTAATGAATTTAATCTTAAAAGCTTTCACTTGATTTTTTTTTTTTGTTCAATTCTTTAATATTTAAAAGTAATATTTCTAAGATTATTTTTGTGTCACTGTATGAACTTCTTTTAACGTTATCTGCTATCAAAAATACTTCTTTTATTTTATGAGACATGTATATGTGTACAGTGTGACAAAAAAAAAAAAAATGAACCACTCTGAATTATATTCATATTATTTTCAAGTTTTGAATTTTAAACATAAAACTTTTTATTTTAATTTGGTTTCTCTTAAACTATTCAACCAATTTGCTCACATTTTATATTTTGCTATGTAAAATAATGCAAAAATTTGTATACCTGAGAATTCAAAATTATTTATATACCTTTATTTAGTAAAAAGTAAATAAATAATTACTAAAAGTTATTTTTTTTAATGGAATTACCTTCGGATAACCGAATTTTATAATTGACTGCGAACATTTTTTGATTCGCTTTAAAAAAAATTTCAAGATATAGAAAAATAAGCAAAATTAGTATCAAGGGGTCCAAACTTTGGAGAGCTCTCCTGACCAAAATATCCCGACAATATTTCCCAGATTGCAGCTACCTCTATATTTTGAGAGTCGGAAATCCGAGTCCGTTAAAGAAAGGTATGCTTATTCAGTTTGATTTTTTAATTTAAAATATAGTCTGCACTAATTAATTAACATATTTGAGATCACCCTCTCATGCCATTAAGATTGAATCCTAGAGCATGAAGATACGATCCTTAGATCAAAAATTATTCAGGGTGGGGTTTTTTGTTTTTTATTTTTTTCTACTGTTTTTCACTGCACATATGATTTTATATTAATTATTATAATTTATGTTATTGTAATTTAGAAAATAAATATTCTGGAAAGGTGCAATATATTATACAACAATAAATTTCTTAATTTTTATACTTTAATAGTAAAACCGAAGTAATCAATTATTTTCAAAAGTTATTTTTAAAATGTATTCTACGGTTAAAAATTTCTTTTGTGACAGATTCAGCGCAGGAAATCACTTCCACCCCCAAAAGTTCCACCCATTGCTTGGGAAGAATACATAAACTACAATGATAAATATGTTCATATTGGAAGGCCTTTAGTATATAAAGAAAGCAGGAAGCATTTCAAGGCAACTGTTGCAATGGTAAATGATATGTTTTTACTTGATAATTTTTTAGAAAGTAAAACTGCAATATTTTTCAATTATTACGATGAATTGATGAAAATGTACTTAGTAAACTTACAAAACTATGCTCCTTGTATATAAAATTGGTGACTCAAGGATAAATTTTTAACCTTTGTTGGCTTAGCAACATTGTGACAGGCAGTAGCATCACTCTTTTTATTTATGTTGCAGTTTAGGAATATCTACAGCTCATTGTAGTTCCTCTGATTATTGTAGTTATCTTGTTTTCGTTTGTTATGCACCGTTTTGTACTTGAATTTAAGTTTATTCATTTTCACTAACTTGTGCTAAATTGTTTGTTATTTAAACTTTTCTATCTTAATTAGATAGATCAGTCGGCAATTACAGTTGGTTATCTGCGATTAGGGTGCATATCGTTTTTAAAAAGTGCTTAAAGGTGCTCATTTTCGCTTTTTAAGAGCCCTTAAGGGTGCTTTTTTCATTTGGTGTTTTTAAAAAGTTGTTAATTTTTCCTTTTTGAAAGTGAGATTTTTTCTTTACTATGTCGATTTTTGCCATGTATTATGTCTATTCAACGTTTTCACAATTCATTCAATCACAATCCATTTTGTGTATTGTCAGTCCATAGCATGTGAAAACGCCAATCATTTTGCATGTTTGAGGAAATACTTGTGACAGACTATCCGTCTATTAAGCTGGTTTTGGTCAGATTATTGCGCCCTCATGTGCAACTCTGCTGAAATTTGCAAGACATTTTTCTTCCCCTGATATCGAACTAAAAAGTCTCTTTATCGTTTTATAACGAGTCATGTAATCAAGAAACTAGTTATTTTATCATGATCATGTAAAGTCTTTGAAAATTATTTTACATTTTGTTAATGTATATAGTGCTAATAAATATTATGTTATAGATTATAATAGTGTTCATTTTTATGCTACTCTCTAAACTAGTGTTTCATTTTTCAGTCTGAAGATTTCCCCCTGTCTGTGGAATCGTAAGTGTTGTTGATATTTTTATGATTAATAATATGTACTCATTTTTGTATTTTTTTTTTTCTTTTTAGTGATAATAAAAAAAACTATTTTTCAATTTATTAAAATATTTTTTCCTCAACACTTTTTGAAGTATGAAAAGGAATTTGAAAAAAAAATTAATAACATAAGATATAAAATTGAATCCTTTTAACTATCTTCTGACTTCAGTCATAAAAATAATTTTTTAAACTATCTTGGATAAAATTTAATTAAAAATACTTACACTTATATTCACTGAAAGTATGTTCAAATGTAAACACATTATTTTTCCTCATAAAATTTTAAATTATTATGCTTGTAACAGCCTTAAAATAAGTTTTTTTTTTAATAGTTTAGTTTAAGATAAAAATGTGTGCATGTGGAGGATATAAATTCATCTTCAAAATTCTATACATTATTTATACATTTATTTCCTGTATGACCACCACAGGGTTGCTAGGGGATTCGAAGTCAGGGAATTTCGAAAGTGTCCAGAAAAAAGGAAATATAAAATTTTTGAGCTAAAATCTAAAAAAAGTCAGAGAGATTCTTTAAGCGAGGGCCAAGCATGCCATCTTTTCGAAAACCTTTTCCGCAGTACACATTTTGTGTGCAAAAGTTTCGCAAATTCGTCATGGAACCTAATTTTACAGAACCACAGCATGTCAGGGTTTTGTGGCTTCAGCTGGAAAGGGATTATTGTTTGATAAGCTCCACAACAGATAGAAGGGGTAGATGGACTTCAGATTGTCTATTTGTATTTTTGATTAAGAAATTTGTTGGGATAAAAAGTGTTTTATAATCTCTTACAAATCATTAATGTTTTTTAAATTTCGTTAATTCTCACTAAAGTTCGATAAATGAATTTAATTAAACTAGTTATAGCTCGCAGAAGCATTGATATTGCTGATCCACATGGAAATTATTAAACAATACTGTAATAACTTGGGTTCGATCCAGATTTTATTTTTAGGGCCCAATTTTGTGAAAAATGGAATTAACTTTTCTGGAAATTTCTTAATTAATGAAGAACATTCTTTGTTTTTTTGATCGTGTTTATGCTACTACCCTATGGTTTTTCAAAGTGATTCCCTGTATATTTAATATGTTGTTACTATTTTAATTTCAGTAACACCTTCTGATGACTCTGTTTCCCTCTAATTTGTTAATGTGCTTTTTTTTAATATGCTGAACAATCAATTTCATGTTCAAAACACTATATATATATATATATATATATATGTTAAAAATAAAGAAAATTAAAAAGCCAGATAAAAAAATAAACCACAGATATAATCTCGTCTTCAGCTCACAGGATTATATCCACAAAAAGAATGCTTTCTAATATTATATTAAATAAGCAAAACATTATATTACATTTGTATGAGGAGCACCAAAAATATTTAGACCAAAATAAAACATATAAAGCAAAAAATAGAAAATAAAAATCAAGGNAAAAAAAAAAAAAAAAAAAAAAAAAATACAGAATAAAACCCCAAATATAATATATAAAGTGAGTAGTGAAATCAAATGTTCTTCCATTTACCAGCATCTTGCAAAAATGATCTAAATTATGTCCGTAATAAATTTGCCAGAAACAAAGTCTGAAACTGAAAGCATAAATAGAGGATAGTGGGATATATATACTTACAACTTATGTGCAGCAAATAAAGCTTTTTTTTTTTCCTTAATTTTCTTCATTAATCTCTCTTTTTTTTTTCTTTATCTATTGATTGTATTGTACATATATATAATTTTTAATTAAATTTGATTTTTCTTTTCATCTTTTAGGCTTCTAAATGTGTTAGAGGTTGTTGCTCCTTTCAAGCATTTCAAAAAATTGAGGGACTTTGTTCGAATGAAACTGCCCGTTGGTTTCCCTGTAAAAATAGGTATTTATTTATTTTACTCTCTTGAACTATTTTGAACATGGATATGTGTTTATTCTTTCAGAAAAATTCTATATACAAGATTAAAACAGAGTTAAGACTTAATCAGCTGCACAAAAATTATCTACACTCATTTGCTTCTCCCAGTTCATGTGTGAATTACAAATCTTAACATTGATGTTTTTATTGTTCTTACAAAATGTGGGTGTGATGTGTTATAATTCAATTAAAAAGCTATTTATTTAATAGTTATTGTACAATTTTTCTTAAAAATATGGAAATTCAGCTCATAATTATGTTATTTTTGTAATTTAGAAACCACACACACTTAAATGCCAGTGCTAATATAAATTAATGTTTTAGCTTTGCATTTTACTCATTTTTAAGAGTGCTTGCCAGTTGAATCTATGTCATAATAATATTTTTTAATTTTAGCTTTTGTGACTCATAATAGACGTAATTCATTTTCCTAAAATAAATTTTTTTTCTTTTTGTCTAGCCAACTGTAGCTTTGTATTTGTCCATCTTATTTTCTGCTATCTATTCTATGGAAAAGTTATGCAACGAGTGTTATGTCTTTATTTTCTTGTGATTTTCTTTTAGAATTTTTTTTAATTGTATTAAAAGCAAAATTGATTTTTAAGTTACAATATCAAAAATTTTTAAGTTGTTTCATCAAAATGATAAAATCTTACTTCTCGAAGGTTTTATGAGCTGTTTTAAGTCATCATTAATGTGTTGCTGTGCTATTATAATTGTATAGACCTGGAATCATGTGTATCTCTTCTTACTTTAGAAATATCTGAGTAGAATAAATTTGTTATCTAAAATGATAAAATGAATAGTTTTTGTCTCTCTCTTCTAACCCCTAAATCATTTGAAACCATCCAGTTTTAGACCCTGTTCCGAAATTTTTTTAAAAATTTTTATTAAATTGTTCAGAAGAGATGCATGAGAAATGGAATGCTCTAATTAGTTAACATTGGCCGTTAATAAAAAATTAAAGTCAATTCTGGCTTTTTTAATTTTAATTATAACATTATCCAAACCTTTGCCAGCTTTCAGCGGAGTTAATTTAGTGAAAAATTGAGTTTAGGTGAGAGTTTATTGCACATTCTTTATCTTAGTTATCCTGTCAAATAGATAGTAAAATCAACTTTTGTGCCATGTAGGAAGTATATCACTAAATTAGTATTTTGAAAAAAAATTTCTATTGATGAATGATGTTAAGTCATCGATAATCTAAATAAAATTAAATTACGTACTGAAAAAAGCAAAACTATCAGGCAAATTACTTGATTGAGGTTAATCTTAACTGTTATGTTGTAGACTGCAATTAATTATGGATAGTAACATTTTAAATGATACTGAATACAGTCAGTTTTTTTCCTGATAAACTGAACTTCTTGAAACTTGTTTTTCCTATTCTTATATTGTGAAGTGAATTAAAAATTCAACAGAAAAAATTGAATTTCCTTTTAATTGTATTTACCTTTCATTTGTGTGTAAAATTGTAAATTTTTTAAGGAGTGATTTCTTAATTATCTATAATTTTTTTAATTATATAAAGCATTGTTTTTTTTTTACTGTGTACCAACAAAAATGAGTTATTTTCTCTTCCAGATATCCCCATTGTTCCCACTTTGACAGCTTGTATCACATTCCAGGATTTCCAGTTTAATGTTGAGATACCTGACCACTACTTTGAAATTCCCTCTGATTATACTGAGGATCCTACTCGATTTCCTGATTTATGATTAACGTACTCGTTTCCTGGCCCTATCTCTCTTGAACTTGCACTGATGTTTGTGTAAAGAAAATAACCCTGTGCCCTCATTTTTTTTTCTTATTTATTATCCACTCTCACCAATTGATATTTACCTGTGTCCAATCAATATCAATCAAATAACAGAGCTCAATCATTTGCGTATTGCCATTAATCAAGAAGCTATCGGTTTTTCATGTACAGGTTTAGATTAAAGTGTCTTGAACATGCGATTTATTGCAGGATCTTATTTTTTTTAAACTTCATTGTGGTATATTTATCTTTGTTCAGAGATGTGTTGTGTAATCAATAATCAGTCATTTATCAATCCTAATACCAGTACTGTACTAAATATTTTCAGGTTTTAATGGTTAAATAAAACGGTTTAACGGTTAATAAAAAAATTACTGGTTTTTCATATGTTTGAGAAAAAAATCCCTAACTTTGAAAAATAAAAATTGTAATATATATATACATTAAACATTGCTTGATTGAGTGTTTAAGTAAATTTTACGTTATATTTTAAAGCCTTATCTATGGAAATCAGTTTGAAGCTTTTACTTTTTTAAAACTTTAATATTTTCATATTCAAAGCTCTCAACCCTTAATTAAAGAATGTGAGAACTATCTAAAATGAATTAAATATTCATAGTAAACATAATCAAAATGCTTTAGGTATAAATTCATTTAAAGTCAATTATAAATTTGCAGTTGTTAATGTAATATGATTTTCATATTTCATTAATTATAAAAATCTCTTAAATTCCCATTAAAATTAGATATTCTTATACCATAGTAAAGTATAGTTGGCATAGTAAATGCTCAATCAAATAAAATTTCATAACCTGGAATGAACTTCAAATTATATTTTAAATAAATTTTTGTGAAATTGCTTTGCAATAAATATCTGTGTGATATTTAAGTAATTTTGCTTTAAAATGCTTATAAAACTTCAATATTTTTTATTACTTAGCTATATATTTAATTTTAGAAAATTAAATTTCAATTTATGATATTATTCAGTTTAAACAAAGGCAGATAATCTTATGACTTTAAACATACAGACCTTATGCTCAACATGTACACGACTTAATCGCAAATTAGTACTCAGTGCATCTCTATTATCATCAAATCGGATTATTATTGTTTAGTTTGACTTTAAAAAGTTGAGTCTTTCTAAATCTGATGCTTTATTAAAAATCTTCTTCAAATTATATTTTAAAATTAAAGTTATCTTATGCACGCAAAAAAAAACATTTGATTGATGCCTGACCAATTTGTGTTCTTAATTTGCATCAGGTAATTTGTATCAAAAAATATGTAAAATATCAATTAATCATATAAATATATAATGAAATGCTTTCTCTCTAAAGAGATATCTAGTCACATAATGCTTTTTATGAGAGTTGATATTTTTTTTTTGTTGCTAGATCTATTGTTTAAATAATTTTTATCCACTTTGAGCTACTTGTGCAAATTTTTATAAAAACTGCCCTGCTGACCATAGCTTCTACATTGAATAACGAAAAAAAAAAAAAAAAAGAAGGGAAAAGTGAAACAAAATTTATGTACAAGAATTCAAATTTATAATGAAATTTACTTAAGTTATGTAAAATTTTACAAAGAATTCAACTATTAATATATTTTTATTGACTTATTTTAAATTTAATGTAACTTTTTTTTTGAAGAAATCGCTACTGTTTATCATCAAAACTTATTAATTAAATTTTTTTTTCTTTAATGTTAGATATTCACTTAAAACTCTTGCTATCATACACAATTGAAATTTAACAGTTGAAACTAAACATTAAATCCAATATTTTGATTTTTACTTCATAATGACTTCTAGGTGCACATTAAATTTTGAAATTCTAAATTAAATCTTCATCATTATATTTGCATTTAAAATTATCTATTCTTACTACGTATAGGATGGCAGTTATTGATGGATATGAAATAAGAAATAAACTTTTCAAAAACTAAAGTGTTATGCAACTAGGCTTGTTGATAAAAAGTTAGTATATTGATGCATTTGATAACTTCCTGAGTGAAAATTTTGACCTTTGATAGACTAAAGTTAAGATCTTTGGAAAATGTTGGTCAATCAATTCATATTCCAGTGACCTTTATGAACCCTATGACCAGAACAATATTTTAACCAAAAAATGAACAACAATACTGTGCCTGGCTAAAATAGCCTGCATTCAACCACTAAGTTTTAATTAATTCTCTCAAATGGTTCAAAATTTATTAATGATTTTTTTTTTCTTCATGTACCTCAGTAATGGCCATCCTTAATCATTTTTGCATGATTAATCAGCAAGCTGATCTGATTTATGAAGCTTATGATCTAAAGTGATCAACAATCAATCGCCTGTACCATACACTTCTATCTTCACCGCTATTGGGATCATCTTGCGCAGCTCAGGCCATTTTGTTTTTATTCAATCAAAGAAGTTATTTTTCGAAGAAATCAATCTTGGAATAATCCGAAGTTCTTTCTTAAAGACATGTATTTTGAGCAATAGCCACTGGTCTTTCCCTGTGAACAGTGATGTTACAATTACCCGTCTTGCTGTGATTGTTGATTGTTATGTAATACTTGTATGTAACAATGTGTTTTGCAGAAAATCTTCTGTAAAAATGAATGTTTTAACAAAAAACCCACCAAAACTTCAACCCACTTCCAATACCAAAAAAACATATCTCCTGATGTTGTCGCAATCGCACCACTGTACAATACACTTTTGGCCCAAAATAATGTGTGTTGTGTAACTTTCATGTCAGAAAGCTATTGTTACCAAGTTGTATTTATGTTTAGTCATGGATTAAACTTGCTGTTTTTTGTGTACAGAACAACTTTCGGTGCTTATATCTTACTCCTACAGTTTTGTTTGCTTTTCCTATGCAGCTATTTTAGTATGTGATGTGGTAAGCCTGTTTTTTAAAAGCATCGATATTATTTAGTTCCTGAAGAAATTAATACTTAAAATATTCAAGTTTTTCTTTTATTTTTTTTAATAGAATTTTCCCCCTGTTTTTCCCTTCCAGCATCCAATCAGTGGTTTGTTTTTTAAAAATTAATAGTATAAATTCTGTTTAAAATTAATGTGTAACATAAGTAACAGACTTTAATTTGCAACTAATAAGTTGCATTTTGTACTAGTCTGGTGTGTTAAATAAATGAAACTTATTTTTTTCATTAGCTGTATTTTAGACACTATAACTAGTAATATAAATTTATTGTTTAATATAAATTGCTAACCTTTCTTATTTTTAATGTTAGTATGTTATTTCTTAATGTTATGAGTAAAGTTTATTGTTGTTAATGGATGTTTTTTAAAGACATATATAATACAATAAAAAAAATCATTTTTAACATTAGAAATAATAAAAATTTTTTAACAAAGGTTATCTCCTAAACTTTACTTAGAATGTTATATTGTTCTCCAGCATATTATGAATAAAATTTATTGTTGTTATTAACTGGTGTTTTAATGACACTATTAACATTTAATCTCCTGAATCTATTAAATTTCAACTGCATATGTACCAAAAATAAGTTACCAGTTTTCTAAAAATATTAATTTATTATCTTCCCCTCTGCTAATGTTTAGTGAAAAAGTCCAAAAAAAATATTTTAACAGATAAAGTTTATGACAAATTTGACTTTGTTCATACAGATTAATTTCCTAATATTAACTTCTTGTCTTAATTTATTCATTATTTAACTGGGGAAAAAAAATCAGATTTCTATAAGGAGTTTTCTGTTTAAAGTTATCCATTTGTTTCCTAAAATAACATTTCATTTTCAGTCAAAATTTAAGCTAAACTCTCACTACTTTAGATTCAATAGTGTTCATGCATGTTATTAATAACATATTCTGTCATAAACTGCTACTGCAAAATACCATTTGAAAATAATTTAATCAATTTATAATTTTATTGCTATTGCAAATACTATCTGATAATAATTTAATCAAAAAAGTGATAGAAAATATGTGTGTCATTCGCTATAATTATTTTTTTTAAAAAAAGTAAAAGAGTCTTTAAGATTATTGTTTTAGTATCCAGATAAGAAATTACTCAAATAATAATTATTGGCTGGTATAATTTTAAATTTGTTGTAGATTTTCATACAAATTTTCCACTTGAATTGAGAAGATTTTACAGCAAATACATCCTATCTAAATAATAAACTATTTTGCAATAGCTATACACATATAATTTTTTTTTTTGTCATACCTGTCCATCATTTGCATGTTTTTTATTTTTAAAAAGAAAAGAGGCTGGTTATTAATAAATTTTTTTTTGCTTCTGACTTCATAATCATAAAAAAATTTTAAGATTAAATATTATTTGCAAATTAATTATGACATTATTCTATAAATTTTAAAAATATTTAGTTGCTGAACCACATCCCAAATAATTTAATCCCTCGTTGAAGTTGAATTTGGTTTTATGCATTAGTATTGATTATTTGTCATAAATGTAAGAATCCATTTGGATACAATTGTTTTAAATTTAGAAATAATATTATAGAGTGAATTATCTGTATTTCTCTGTAGTCTGCCATAATAGAATTATCAAAAAAAGGGATGTCAACCTCAGGAATTTTTTTCATAATTTGTACAAATTTAAACTAATAAACCTAAGGAAACAAAAAGCTAACAAAGACTCTTAAAATAAAATCTATATTGTGGTATTTCTTATGAGGAAAATTAGTAAAAATAGCATTTCAATGCAATGTTTGATTGTGATTGGAAATTAAGGAAATGATGGAACAATATGTCAAATTATTCAGGGATGGAATTTTCAAATTATTCAGGGAAATGAATTTAACGAAAACACCAGAATTTCCATCTACAGGGTGCGTAGCGTTTTTAAAAAGTGCTTATTTTCGATTTTCAAAAGCCCTTAAAGGTGCTTTTTTCATTGTGTGTTTTTAAAAAGTGCTTAGCTTTCCGTTTTTCAAAATGAGATTTTTCCTTTAGAATGTTGATTTTCGCTTCAAATTATGCAAAAAAAGACACAGTTCACATTGTTCTATTCAACGTTTTCACAATTAATTCAACCCCAATCTAATTCGGTGTATTGTCTGTCCGTAGCGTATGAAAACAACATTCGTTTTACAAGATTCAAAATTTCATGATTTTTGACAATTGTCAAAAACAATACAAAAGTTTCTTTTTTTTTTGACATGACGGTTAAAACAAGATAAAACCGTTAATTGTCAA